CAGGGACTTCAATATATCCATATGCATTTCTGTGATATGTGAGCAGTATCTGTCTATAACAAATATCAAAACTACAAAGGATAGCACCATCTAAAATCCTTACACAGACTTCACCTGCAGAAAATATATTCTGGGTAAACCAAACTCAACAAAACATACTGTCATTCCTTTCATCTTACCCAGTACTTTTAATTTCACGTAAACTATTTCTTAATATATCTACCACTTAATTCTCACCGACGCTCCCTGCGGGAGAACTGGCACGAGGTTTGTATTTACTCCTGGGTCCTATTTAGCAACTTTCTTCATGAATCATGCCTTATGACCACTTTTCATTTATTAACCACACAGGGATATGTGACTAATGTCACTATTGATAATACTTTGTTACTGGCTGAAAAACCAAAGCTATGAGCTGGGTCAGGAAAAACTGGCTCAGCCACTGCCTCTTTTTTGTATTTGCTCTGGATATGAAATGAATACAGCCTCCAGGATGATCATTTAAAACATTTCATTTTTGTTATGCTCTTCTACAATTCTATCTCAATTTTCTTTCACATAAGTTAGAAAAAGAATCAGAAAGGTGTGGTGTGAGGTGAATATGTGTAATAAATAGATATACTACATACACGCCAATAGCAAAACTATTGGCCATGAGTCTTGTAAAAATGCACAGATGCGACCATCTTCTAAATTATTATAACTAGAGATCAAAGGTATGGAAGACGGGATTTGGAGTGAATGCAACCTATCATGATAAACCATATATTTTATGCTAATTAAGACCAACTTCTTCTTTCTTCTGTGTTAACATCATCCTAGCATTTATTGATATCCAAGCTCATGCCATTCCCCAAGATTTTTCTCCTTGGGACATGTTTCCAACTAACCTTCATTTATATCAGTCTTCACAAAACATTGATAAAATAATTTTTAGGTTATAAGGTACTTTCACAGTTTCGTCGTTCCATTTGATTCTCTCAAAAACCCAGTAAGATATACAGCGAAAGCACCATTACCATCTCTATTTTCAAATTAAGGAGACTGAGGCACAGACAGTTACCATTAGTATAAATGGAAGGAGAGACCTCTGACTCTACATCTGAAGCTATGACAACTCTGTATTTAATTGGTTATAATATCGAAATACAGATAGACTAACACTCTTTATCCCACTTTTTTATATGGATAGATATATATTCAATGCTCAAACCTACATTTATAACATCAACATCTGCTAGGAATGATCTTCGGCCATATTTATGCCTTCACTTCTGTATCTCCTCACCAAACATCCTCTGATTACACAGCCATTCTCCTTGGCTTCTGTGACTGTGTCACTCTTTATTGGGTCTTTGAATACCTACCCCATCTGCCAAGCTCCCTTGACTGAATTTCTGGGGTTCTCCATGTACGTTGGGATTTCTTCTTTGACATGGGGCTTTGCTCATTTGTTTTTTCTTCTTTGAGCTCCATGAGCAAGAAGGTTATTTTTGCCTTCCCTGTAACCCCATTAATGCAGGATGGTGAGAGATAAGGAGAGAACAGACATCGACAGAGGGCAGAGGCTGCATCTAGCAGGACTCTTCTCCCTTTATTCTCTTTCCTTCACTTCTGTCATGAGAATCAGAGCTATTTGTCAAGGAAATCCTTGGGTAGAATATTATAAACTTGCAATAATCACACCAATATTATCCTCTTTAGAGTACTGGCTATAAAGTTGGCCATGATTTTTAACTATTCATAAACACTTAAACACTTGCCTGGTACCGTTAATCTCAACTCAAATCTTGACTGAAAAGTCTTACAAAGCAGAACAGCAACTTGCTATAATTTTATTTGTTAACACAATTTATCTTACACCTGTAGAACACGTTAAAGATACAGGCATTGCCTCAACAAGAGTAAATGTGTCATCACTTAATCCACTAAGCTTGCTTCTCAGGGAGAAATTCAATATTTTCCCACTGCAGGTGGAGCGCAGTGGGAAATCAGCAAGAAGATGCTCTATATCTGATACCAATTTTCTACCTTGTCTCACTCCCTCTCTGCCTTCTCCCCCTTTTAGCTCTAATGATCTCTCCTCCTCTTAAACACTGTTTAAGGACATGCCACATCCAAAGATAGAGAAGGATAGAGGAAAAGGGAAAGTCATTGGCATTTTATGTAATTCAGCTCAAACTTTTTATATGATGCTGCAACTTCTACCTCTTTTTGGGAAGAGACATGAGACTTGTGGTCTCAGGTGCCATCTTGATAACGAAGGAGGTAAGAAAAATATTTGTCTTTCTCCCATAGAACATAAACTACCGCTATGAAATGAATCCCTGGAATAATCCAGTAGGTCACCTCTAGAGAGCCCTCGAGATTTATCTGCTGGGGGTCAGGCGGCAGTTCAGAGGTGTTACAGTACTTATATACAGCACTGTTTATATTTTGAAGGACCATGTACTCACTTACAGTATCAATCAATTGATCCATTAGTAAAATTGTAGCATTTCTGGTATCATTTAAGGTAGCAAAAGATTATACTCTGAAATGCCCCACCCTTAGTTTTTGGATACCTCTAAGACGTCCACTGAATTTCAGAGTGTAAAGAGTAAACGGGCTGTTTAGAGTGTGAAGAGTAGATGGGGCTAAATATTCCTGCTCCAGGGGCGCCTGGGTGGCGCAGTCGGTTAAGCGTCCGACTTCAGCCAGGTCACGATCTCGCGGTCCGTGAGTTCGAGCCCCGCATCGGGCTCTGGTCTGATGGCTCAGAGCCTGGAGCCTGCTTCCGATTCTGTGTCTCCCTCTCTCTCTGCCCCTCCCCCGTTCATGCTCTGTCTCTCTCTCTGTCTCAGAAATAAATAAATGTTAAAAAAATAAATAAATAAAAAAAGAATAAATAAATATTCCTGCTCCAGCAGTCCTTCCCTTGCACTGAGTCACCTGCAGTGCCTACATTTGCTGCTTCTGGTTGCATCTCCGTGGTGACCTCTCAGCTGATTTTGCTGGCTAACATGCACACGTGAGAACAGTCTATTTTCAGGTGACTGTATAACGTCTCTGTAGAAAAGCACAACATTGTGCATTTCAGCTAGTGCCATCACATCAAAAGGTTAAGAAAAACCAAAGGGAAATTTTGTGGTACTTTTCAGTCTAGAGTCCACATAGATAGAAGTTCTACTCCCACATCATCTAACACAACCCAAAAAATCCATTCCAGATTCCTCTGATTAAGAGAGGTATTGGGGGGGGGGGGGGGGAAAGATGTAGTCAAGGTGAGTCTGAAAACAATAATATGCATAGCATTTAGTTGCATTAGAGAGTTTGGGTATGCTTTGACCAGATTACAAACTCTCTAATGAAATATTAATATGATATAGCTTCAAAAATATACTGACAGTGAACTACTGAAAACAAGTACCTAATAATGAGGTATAAAAGGTTGATACCAGGTGTAGTTAGAAGAGTGGCTCACCAAAACTGGCAGCTTACCCACTTGGCTACACAAGAAAAACAACCCATTTATTACATTCTTCTCCTGACATCCTTCTTTGTCCATAATTCATCACATCAACTTTTTTACATTTTGATACATTCGATCAAGCTTCTTAGAAATATGCATTTTGATACACACCATGATACATCTTCCCAATTCAAATAATTTGTGCTAATGTTAGGTACTGTATTTTAAATCCTTTACAGATACACTGTCCATGTGTCTCTTAAACTCATGTAATCTACCGGGGAGTACAGTAGGAAAACTATTTAAACGAAGAAAGTATTCATAGCTTGTTAACTAGTCTAAAAATGAGAAATTTCTATGGTCCAAATCAGCGGATGACTGTCCAATAAAAATAAACAAACAAAAAAAAAAGGTCAATCATGACATCTAAATTTGAGGCTTCCCTTTGCGTTTCTCCCTCTGGTAAAGATTACACCTATACTTTAAAAATACAGGTTTCTGTAACCGGGACAATTTAAAATCTTACACAATGGAAAAGTGGTTCTTATGTAATTGTTGTTACTACAACTGTTATCTGTCTTAGTGACTAATGACAGATAATAAATACTTCGTTGCAGAAAATTTTTTCCAAATTACATTTGGGTCAGCAGTCACTTTCTCAATGTGTGGGTTTTGTTTGCTGTTTGTTTGTTTGTTTGTTTGTTTACAGAAGACTCACCAAATCTATTCATGACTGGCTTTTACCGGTCCTGATGCAAAAGCTATCTTTTGATCATTTATTTATGACCAAATGCTGCTTTACAAGACATAGCTCAGAATAAAATATTTAAGCACTTTCTCCTGGATCTTCAGTTCAGCAATATGAATTTACACAAAAAGAATCAATGCTAGTGAATAGTATCCTGATACTTGAATCGATATAAATCAGTTTACAAGGATTGCTAATAAACGCTGAACATTTTTTTTTGCCAGACATAAAAGAAATTCTAATAATCAGTTCAACTAAAAAGCTAATTTGTATCAGTCGTTAGTCATTTTAATTACACGGTGATGACTTTGTCATCATGGGCAAGAAATCATTTTGCTTCTCAGGAATTTCATTTTCCCCTCCTCCTCTCATCCCCATTGTGGACAACACCAAACCTATACTGCACCTCTCTCTGAAGCCCTTCTCCAACATCCGTGTTTCCCATCATGCATAAATTGGTATTCAAATACCTACTGCTAACTTGGATTCAGCCCCTCCAGGCTATTTACAACCTGCTTCCTGTCCTCTTCTGTTGTGTCTGCTAGTGAGTGAACTTCTCATTAATAAAACCTAATATTTACAAGACAAAAATAACATCTCCAAGTTGGCATGCAATTTTGCACTATTCTCAGATGCCGTGAGTATGACATGCTAATCAGAGGCACTTAGAGTCTTAGGTCAGTTTGGCAATAATGTTTTTCAGCTGCATTTTAAGGGTCTGTGAAGACCAAAGATCTAGGTTAAAGGACTTTAATTTTTTTCTCTCTCTTTTTAACAAAAGGATCTAAAAAGGTGACCTACCTTTATGTGACAGACGTAGGCGGGGGTGAGGGGTATCTGCCGTGTGCCCTCCCGTCCAAAGCTCCAGTAAGTAACCCCACAGGAGCCAGGTGACCAGGTTCGCGGCCGATGCCATGCTGCCTGCTCACCGGGCAAGCCCTCCGATCCGCACTTGAAGGCGGGTCTGAGTTTTACTTAGGACTCCCCTCCAGGGGCAGCGCGTGAGAGGCTTTGTCACAAATCGAACGCGTTGTCATCAGAAAGCACGGTCCCAAAGTGCCATTTGCCAGGCTGTATTTGGCTATGTAAGACCTTTCTTCCCCGAGGACAGTTGTTTATAAGCCGGGAGCAGGAGGACATTCCAAGGAGCGAGTCTTTCGAGCCATGTCCTGTCCAGAGCTCTCTTCAGTAACTGTGCGGGTAGACTCGGGAGGAAACTGTGGGTTTTTTTTTTTTTTTTTTTTTTTTTGGTCACTTCTGCAAGCGGTTCATTGAGAAAAAAAAAAAAAAAAAAAGCCCTGAGCACACGCACTGCCTTCCCCCCGTGGAGCTCTTCTCTTCTGGCTCCTTGAAGCCTCTCCGAAGTCAGCCTCTTGCACTGACTTGCCAAACAGCTAGTTTTAATTCACCTTTCACCTTGCTAATTAAAAACAAGAAGTGCCATTCCCTCCAGGAGTTGCAGGATCCACCCAGCAGGGATGCGTTCTGTCAGCGAGCTGTGTTTACAGGGAAAGTTCAGGCAGGGTTGAGCTGTTTCTAGGAAGTGTTTCTGGTCCACGTGCCCCGCTCCCACCCGCCCTCCCAGTATTACTGGCCCCACGTCACTCAGCGCAGGAGACAAGTCCGCGCTTTGATGGGGAGCGGGGATCAGGAGGGAGAACGGGGTATAATAGGCTGATTACTGAAGTACATACAACAGAAGAGGATGGAGCCTCAGGAAGGGCTTTTAAATGCTCGCTCACCAAGATTAACCCTTGAACACACGCAGATTCAGTTTAAATAATGGATGTGTCACCATCCAGCACCCACACTGATTTTTCTTCAGTTTCTGCTGAAATTGTATTTTTTTCACATTTATGGCTTTTTTTAATTGATTACATCTTACTAATGTATTTTCAACTCTTGTATGTTTCTTGTATGTTTCAAGAGCCTGAAAAACATGTCATCTGTGATTGTTTCATCTGTTAATGTGTTACTACTAACAAATTATTTTACCTAGGCAAATTCTTCAAACCTATTAAAAGCAAAACCTTTTGTTTTTTTTTAAAGCAAACCATAAATTTCAGCCCAAGTTTAAGAATACATTTTGAAGTAATTTTCTCCTAGATATGGTAACTATGGAAAAGTTGAGGTTTTCTATAGGACACATCCCAGTAAAGCAGGTATTAGAAAGCACAAGATGTGAAACACGTTAGGATTCCACTGCTATGCACTTTCCGAGTTTATTTTCCAAGAACTATGTTTGTGTAAATAAGCTTAACACAATAGGTCAACTTTACAATCTACTTTCAATCAATCTCAAAAACTAAACCAAACACTCTGCAGCGGTTGGCATGGAAATGAATGTTCCTATTTGAAGATACCAATAAACTTGAATAGGTATTTCATTTGATACTTGAGAGTTAAATGGTAAACAAATGATTTCAGCTATGATAACTTTTCTTAATTCTGTTTTTAAATGGTACTGTTAAGGGCACTTCTTGAGAATTATGTTCTTAAAATCATGTAATTATAACAAATAGATAACTCAGGTTACCCTGATACTTTGCGATACAAGCAAATGTAGAACCAGGCGTTATCTTCCCATTTTCCTAAGCATGACATGTACTATTACAAGCAGAGTATATTTAGTAAAATGTAAATGTCACTGGATATTATAAATAATTAGATTTCCAAGGGCTACAAAAGATAACAAACTCTAAACATTATTTAACAGTAGAGCAACATGAAGTATTTAGAGAGTTTTAAACTGGGGTGGTCTCTGTAGACACATGCCTATTTTAAAAGCCAGTCTGATGAGCCACAGACCTAAAGGTAACTCTAAGGGTGATATAATGTACCTCTGGAATCCTCTTTTACTCTCTTCCAGAATTGAAGTAACTAGGAAGTAAATAGCAGCTTTTATATGTGTTATCTAATGGTGGGATTCCAGGAAAAGTAAAAGTAGTGTGTATAACTTTTATTACAAATGCATGGTTAGTCTTATACAACTGATTTTCCACACAAGATTGTGCAGTGCCTGTTCTAACTCTATGATGGAGCTGAGGCAAGGTAAGGCATTATAACAATTTCATTAGGGTATGAAACTCGTATCATTAATGTCCTTGAGACAATAAATGTTACGAATGTAAATTACATCAGTACAAGCTACATGCAAAGATTCATCTTCAGTGTTACCATCCTTCAGATTACGTTAGGGGATTTTGAAGTACGTGCCAGAATAATGAACTCCTGTGGATTTTCTCAAAATGGGCTCTGCTTTATCCTTCGGTTATCAATGAATGCCATTGCGTATTTCCTTTAACGCCTCTGTGTGTCCTTCTACCTCTCTTTCTAGTCTAGAATCTAAAGATGATGCCAAAATTAAAAAAAAAGACTATTAAAAATACTAAACATCCAGAACTAACCATTGCCTCGGCTGCTCCCATCTGGTTTTATCAATGGAATGAAGAGTCTTTGAGAACAAATCCATCATTTGCCTCATAAAATAAAACAGGAAGAACCCTCTGGGGCAGAGTAACCTTATTATTTATCATCCAAATAAGAAATGTTTTAGGGGCAAAAGAGTCTTCTGTTAATAATCACATATGGGGGCGCCTGGGTGGCTTGGTCGGTTGGGCGTCCGACTTCGGCTCAGGCCATGATCTCGCGGTCCGTGAGTTCGAGCTCCACGTCGGGCTCTGTGCTGACAGCTCAGAGCCTGGAGCCTGTTTCAGATTCTGTGTCTCCCTCTCTCTCTGCTCCTCCCCTGTTCGTGCTCTGTCTCTCTCTGTCTCAAAAATAAATAAACATTAAAAATAATCACATATGAGCCCAGACCATTATATTCAAATCAGGACATCATGGTAAGTCAGCCTTCATGGGAGAGATTTCTAGGTACCCTTGGGAAACACGGAAATAGAAAAAAAAAAATTAAAATACAAAACTGATTTGCCACCAATGGTGAGTGAATAGCTTCAGTGAGCCGAAGAGCTCTGGGACTAGCAACAGTATCTGCTGGTATTATTGTATTCGATGAGAAGAGCTAGGCTGCCAGTTTGAAGAGCCTTAGACAACATGGAAGACCAGGTAAGAAGGGAAATGGCAATTCTGCAGGTATTGCCTGCCAGGCCAAATGTCTCATTCCAAAACCTTAACCCTTTGTTGCTAGGGTCACACAATGAGATAGTGAGGGAGAAAGGGGGTGGGGGTGGGGATTGAGTACTCACCAGGAGTTCCATAGTGGATTCTCTCACTGGTTCTCCACTTAATAGTCAAAGACCAACTGGCCTCTGAAATAAGCTTTCCCAGTCTGTGGTCCCAGACAATCTGTGGCTGAATCACACAGGGTATGTGAGAAAAGAACACATTCCTACATCCCACCTGATATTCCCAGTTTGTCTAAAGTTGTACCTACTAAAATTTGAGTTTTACAGTGATTCCTCTTAGGTCAGTGCTATTAAAACATTAGACATCTGTTTGCTACTTTCACCATTTTTATCCTAAGAGCATAGTATTTGCAGATCTTATATGAACATGAACTAAACATAGGTTATGTTACTCTACTTGGTGTGTTACTGTTCCATAACATAGCCTCTCCTAACTAAATGCACACTTTACCTACTGTGCTTTGGGAAACATCCTCTTGGGTGAACACGGAGCATCAATAAGTCACTGATACTGCATTCTTTCCTATCTGTCACTAAGACTTACTTCAGAACTTATGTATAGCCAGTAAGAGATGTGCATACTGAGGACTAAGATACAAAGTGAGTCCCATGTCACTTTTAGAATAAAGTGGGATATGCCCTGAGCTTCTCCCGTTGAACTCTGTACACATAAATGATGCCATAAACAGTATTTATAGGCGAACGAATAGCACATCTCAAGAACATTATGATTAAAATCATTAATACATCAACATATCACAATAGAGAGGATGATGAGTCTTTTAGGAACTAAAGATAAACTTTCCTGATGGTGGTCAGGGCACTTGAGGTTTCCTAATCCTCCTACTCTGGCTAACGCTGCTATCTGGAGCGTCTCAAATGTCCCACCAATATGACCTGCTGCTGCTGAAGCTGCCGCCATCACAATTACTGGGTTTTACAGGCCAAGATCCCTGATACATTCACTGGTTAGTCAGTCAAGATACCCTATATCACACACTCTGTGAGAGTTCCAGAAGTCTGGATTGACTGTTTCTCACATTCAGTGATTCAAGAAGATTGGAAAAAATTGACAAGTACATTATCTTGTACGTCGTCAAGAGTAGTCCAAAGAATGACATCCCATTAATGAGTCCCATCCAGGATCCATTCCAGTCGCTTGCCTGCAAGAGGTTTGGTTGATGCCATTTCTTACATCGTCATTTAGGTAGCTAACAATTCAATACACTGACTTTTTATCTTTCTATGTTGATCAGCTATTCAAAAAAAAAACCCTCAAAATTTGAACAAAAATTATATTTTATAAAATTTTGAATTCTTTGTTTCTGACTTACACTAGGTTTATTCTAATTTTTTTTTTAATTTTTTTTTTCAACGTTTATTTATTTTTGGGACAGAGAGAGACAGAGCATGAACGGGGGAGGGGCAGAGAGAGAGGGAGACACAGAATTGGAAACAGGCTCCAGGCTCTGAGCCATCAGCCCAGAGCCTGACGCGGGGCTCGAACTCACAGACCGCGAGATCGTGACCTGGCTGAAGTCGGACGCTTAACCGACTGCGCCACCCAGGCGCCCCTCTAATTTTGTTTTAGGTCTTTGATAGTGAAGAAAAGCAGGATAAGCATTGTGAGTTGAGTATCAGCTTTTAAGTGATTTTAATCAAAGAGTAGCAATGTTCCTCGTGCCCTCTTTATGACAAAATAAAATTGTGTTTGCCATTAACTCTGAAATCCTTTATTTTTTTTTATTTTCATTTTTATTTATTTTGAGAAAGAGAGAGAGCATGAGTGGGGGAGGGACAAAGAGAGAGGAAGAGAGGGAGAATCCCAAGCAAGCTCTGCGATCTGTCAGTGAGCAGACCCCGACTCGGGGCTCAAACTCACGAACCCTGAGACCATGACCTGCACAAAACCAAGAGTTATATGCTTAACTAACTGAGCCACCCAGGTGCCCTGAAAATCCTTTAATGTGTTGGTCTTGAGAGGTTTTCCTATATTCTTCCTTATGAGTTACAGAGAATTCTTTAAAAAGGTCGAGCTCCAATCAGGTGCTTTAAAAAAATGTAACAGAAACTTGTCAAATATATCATAATTTATTGGTTTATGTCTGTTGTAACATACATTGGTGAGTAACTGGTGGCACCAATGAGGAAATGTTAGTAATATGTGACTGGTATCTGCACCATCTAGCACAGTACTTCAAACTGATTCCATTAATCGAATAAAATTAGCAATATAATTTAATAGTGTTAATTTGTTGTGTTCTATGTATTCTAGGCACCTTGTAAGGCACATTCATATATAATCCAATTTAATCCAGACAACAGCCCCATGCCATAGAAACCATCTTTACTGTCGTTTATGCGTAAGAA